GTACCGAATGATCAGATCTGTTCATGCCTGACCCACCAAAATTTCAGATCAATTCACCACACCGTTTTTGAGAAATTAATTTTCGAAATTGCATCTTTTACACGTAGTGGTATAGGGAGATGGTAAAGTTAGTATGAAATCTATTGCACCACTCGAGTAGTAGGATTAGGATGAGCTTATATCTTGAAAAATGTCAGTAACTAAGAAATGATGTTTTATTTTGTCTACTGATATTTATAACGGTACACGCTCATCCTGAAGTTACACTTATCGAGACCTTGCATTTGAAAACCTACACGAATTTTTTATATATTTTATATATTTCACAAATATATATGTATGCATAAAATTTAGAGCCGACGCTATTTTTCGGTATAACTCAACAAAAAAAAAAAACATTACAGAAAAATTGAATGCAAATTTCAACACGAATACCTCAGTTACAGGTTGATTTTTAAAAAAATCTACTTAAAAACGTCCCAGAGGGAAAGAGTGGGGCAAGAAGACCCTCCTTTAATCTTAACTTAAAAATTTCTTAGAGTAACAAGTATTATTATAAAAATTATACTTGAATTGAGACAAAATCTGTTGTAATTGGCTGCTTTATACAGCGAAATGCCAGAAAAAAAATCAACTCAAAATTAAATATACATCCAATGAAATTACCAAAATTAAATAAAATTCTTCTTTATTATTGACGAAAATTTATTATTATCAAAACTATTTATTAATATAATTTACTATTATTAAAACGATTATTAAAAGTACATACTTTGTAAAATAAAATAGCATTTTCTTTATAGATCAAAGTAATTTGTTAATGTATTATATTTAAATTTAAAAGTAAATAATAAAGTTTTCCGGAAATTTTCTGTCGGTACTGTATATTAATATTTAATGAAGAAATAATTTTTTTGTAATGCTGCAAATTAAATACCCCATAGAAACATAAATTTTATTTAACGGAAGAATTTTACATTAATTACAGTAGCTGACTTTTATGATAACATTTTATTTTTAATATTTTAATGATTAATCTAATCACTTTCCCAGGTGTTTGGTAGTTTCACTATGTACTTACAATCATCGATTTCACGTATCACTATACATGGAGCAACTACTTCATTACTAGGTACAAATATCAACTCTGATGTAGATTCGACAAAATTAATATAAGTAGTGTTTAATACATTTTTCTTTACTTTCAGCTTCCTTACTATTAGTCCGTTGATTCTTTCACCATCCTTTTCTAGTTCAATAATATCTTCGATACATCCAAACCTTACATTTTTACAGTAAACATAACTGTTACAAAATTGGGTATCAGGATTTTTGTCTATTCTACGATAATGTATATTATTAATTCTTGCGTCATCGTATGATGTACAATTAGCTGTAGAATATTGTGGAGGAATACATGAATGTACACTATCTGTAGAATTTCCTTTTGCGATAAATGATCTGTCATTATCATCAAAATGAAATGATGGAAACAAAGAATTAAGATATAATTTTGTGTCAAAACTGACAGAATCTTCATGTGACATATTACATATGAATTTCATAATACAAAATCGGTTGACGACTTGGAGTACACGGTCTTTTGGACTTATGATACATTCCATTATTCGATGATTCCAAGACTCAAACGTGAATGCATTATGAGCCCACATAGGTCCCCAATTCCGTATGGTTTGTGGTAAATGTTTCAATAGATGAACATTAAAAGTCATATTTTCAATGCCAAATAATTCTTCAAATTGCTCAACATATTGATCTAATAATATTTCTGCATTATGAAGCTCCTCGAGTGTAATTGATGCTTGATTGAGGTAATAAATTGCTTGAGAAAGTAAAGCGAAATGTTTCATATATTTACTTTCTAACAATCCATCGAAGCAAACTAAAAAATAATATAAAAGCCAATTACGGAATTCCGACGCTTTAAAATTTTTGATTTCTCCGATTGGCCGTGGTAATCTTGAAATTCGCGTAGGAGGTTTGATAGCAGCTGTACGTCCATTGATATGATTAAAAAATTTAGAATCTACAAGATCCAGTAGTAATAGAATGTGCTGTCTTACGACTCCTAAATAAACACTGTGCATGCATTCTACAATTCGTCCTTTCGCCAGATTAAATTTTGGAAAAGATATAAGACTAGATATACCTTTTACACCATTAACTTTTTTATTATCTTTAAATGCTTTTAACATACCAAGTCTTAATTCTTTATCAGTACGAAGTCGAATTTGTTCGGATGCAGGATAATATCGGACAAGTTGATTATTATCTGACGTAGAACCCCTTGAATAACAATATGTACAACCAAAGTCACCATTAAATTGCGTCATCCGTAAAATTGGTGGTCGAGCAATTGAATCCACACTGCACATAAGAAGTACAAATTTACTTTCAACTTTAGTCCCATCGGATTTTAGCCACTGAATTCCCTTCCTATATAAGTCATTTAACTCCGACATACATTTAACAAGAAAATTGTTCATTACTGGTTTATCAAAATCACAATATATGCCTGCGAGCAACATGTGTCTTTTGCGTGCGTGTGGTGGTAGTTCATTAATTTCCAGATAGACAGGCCACGCACTTGCTTTAGAAGAATTCGAAACACTACAGCCATCAGTGTTAAGAGTAAAAGACATATTATTTGGATTGCTTAAAAATTCACCCGATGAACATAATTTCTGATATTCGCACCCATCATAAATATCTTCTAAAGCATTTTCATTTATTTTTCTGCGCGTATGTCGGTAGAGAATTGATTTTGAGATATTTGGAATCGATAGTAATTGGTGCAATTGAGGATAAAGTTTTAATTGAATAAAATAAGATACTTTGGAATCAAGGCCTCGACATGTTTCGCTTGTACATTTTTTATAATCAGTTGTTTTTGATCGTTTCAGTTTTTTATGCAATTCACTATCATTTTTTGTTGCCTTTTCATTACTTCCAAGAGGACTCGAACACCTAACGCAATAGTAGTGGCGAACATAATTCAAATCATTTCTTGATAATAGCTTCCATAATTGCTCTTTTGAATTGGGTAATTGAGGAATTGCAGTCGTTGAGTTCATCCATTTAAATTCTGATAGAATGCACTCATAAGGGAGATTATATTTGGCTAATCTTCCCATAGCAGCAACTAAATAATCATTACTGGAAACGTTTTCCTTAAAAGCTAAAGGAAATAATGCAGATTCATTAAATTGATTGGTACTAAAAGATGGTGTAATCTCGATTTCTTCAGTATCTTCTAATTCTTGACTTAATTCATTTAACAAATGTTCATTAATTGGTTCATCCACAAAATTCCGTTCGGCAGGATCATCTTCTGCATCAACTTGTGAAACATTTCTTTCTCCATCCAAATCAGAATTCGATAACTGGGATGAATGAGCAGCATCCTGTACATCAAAGTGTTGAGGCGGTGATGAATTTTGTACACATGGAGTACTTATCTGAAATCAGAAAAAAAAATTTTTTTAGTTTGAAGTATATAAACATATCATTTTCTTGATAAATATATAATTTTTTGTTTTAAAATTTTTGTTATGGAATGCTCTTTTAAGATAAATATTGAATTTTATTCAAATTTTTTGCCTTCATACGTTTTTTTTTCGATTTTTGAAAAATGAGAGAATCTTCAAATTGTATACACACCATTCGATTTTTTTGAAAAATTCCCAGAAATACATCAATCCAAGAAGTAATTGCATTTTAAAAATGAAGAAAAAAACTACACATAGCTAAACTGATAATTTGAAAGGAAAGTGCTTAGTTAAATTTTCACACGTTTAACGCTTTCAAAAAAAAAAAAAAAATAGGTACTGACCTAAAAACGTAGCCAAAGTATAGAATGCCTCATGTGCGTTTCAAAAAATTAAGACAATAGAAGAGATTTGTTAAATTTTTCAATTCAATGAAATTTTTTTCGATTCATTTTACCCAAAATAAATACCATTGAGCTGAAAAAACCGATAAGAATAAATTGTTTAAATTTTTCACAATTCGAAAAAAAAAATAACAATTACTTTACAATTTTTTTTTTTTCAAGTGCTCCATTTGCCCAACTTATTGCATATTGGCCCAAAATATCATGAAAACATCATAGAGGTTAATGAAAAAATAGTCACTTATGCTGCATGTGGGATAAGTAGCAAACAATATGGCAGTCGTAGTGTTGCGACTCGAGCGTAAGGTTTATGGGGCGAGTTGCGATAACCACACGAGTCTTCATACGAATGTCTCATAAACCTTACAACGAATTTCGAAATCACGATTGGCATATCTACTTTTTATCCTAGATGGCGTTTCAGTAGTCTCTAGTAAAATAAAAAAAATTGGAAGAAGAAAAAGAAAAGAGTAAATCGTGAAGTTAAATTTCAATAGTAGTATAGTTCAGGTGGAATTCGGGCAGTTATGTGGTCTTTAACCGAACATGTGCGTTTATAAAACACGTATAGTCAAGTATGCGATTATTGTGTATTTTGGAAATGACATACAGCGCTCAAAAAGACAACTTCCAGAGCAAGTGTTGTAAGAAATTTTCACCTAATTTTCGAGAGAGGCCGTTGAACCCCACTCCCCTGTACTGCTTGCAAAAAAAAAAATTTTTTTGATAAGTAGTTAATAATTACTGATCATAAACCATGAATTGTATTATAAACAAAAACCATCATGTTTAGAATTAATGAATGCTATACTTTGATAAAAAAAAGTTACAGGTTAATTAACTAACAAATACTAACCTCAGGATTACCTTTCCATAGTGATAATGATAAATCGTGTGAAAAAACAGTGAGATGGTCTTCTATTTGTTTTGATAATCGACGACGTTCTGCAGATGAAAGACCTTTTTGAAAAATTCTTGACTCGCTCATTTTGAAAATAATAATCACAAAATTAACTGATAAAGTTTCTTATGTTACGAGTGCACTGCCGGAAGAATCCAAAAGAACTAAAAGAATAGCAATAT